TTTGCACTTGCATTAAGAAATGTTATAACTTTACTCTTCTACCCTTATTTAATATTTTCTTAACTCAACTTTATTAATAAATGACAAGATTAATTAATTATTCTATTAAGGGTATGATAGACAAAATATGGTAATTTTTGCATAAATTTTATAAACTGACAAGTATTGTGGTCCAGCTATTTATAGAAATAGATGACATATAAAATGAGACGGATGAAGTATTAGGATGAGACGGATGAAGTTTTAGGATGAGACTTTTTTTTTTACCCTCCCTAGAAGCTCTCACCCCTTTTGCTCCCTTGGTGACTCGAGTTTGCAACCTTCGGATTGGAAGTCATCCGAGTTAGGATGAGACATAGCACGTGATTAGGGAACACTTTTCTCAAGGTATAGATTGAGGCACACCACTTTTACCCGGTTAGGTAGATTTGGGGGAATGTTCATAATTATATTTTTTTGGTAAAAAGCGTTTTTCTTTGATTGGGCTTTTCATTTACGTGAATTGAATATAGTCGAATTCTAATTAAATAAAAAAATAAAAAATGTAATTAGATAAATCCAAGTATCATATAAATTGAAATGAACGTAATATGACATGCGGAGATGAGTGATTTAATTCTCGAGATGATCAAGACAGTTTGAAAGTGTTTTGGATGCGTGAAACTCAAGAAGTTTGACCAAAATTAATATAAAATCATATCCGAGTTTTGATGGTTGCACTTGTTCCAAAGGGCATGTGCAATTTATAGCCAGGGAAACAGAAGGGTGAACGGACAAGACAAAATAAGCTCACATTGCTTCTTATGAATTCATTAACTTCTGTTGGTCACGGGTTCACACAAATATAACATTACTTTTCTTTTATAATCCCGTTGTCCCTAGTTAAATGTTTATTTTTGAATTGATACACCTATTAAGAAAATAATAACTGATATAGTGGGTTTACCATTTTACCCCTATTAATTATGAAGTAGATGAATTAAAAATTTAAGATTTTCAAGAAGTTCTACCTGTTTCAAAGTAATTAATTGAGGGTATAATAGGTAAAAAAAAATTGTCCTTTCTTAATTTGTCAAAATAGACAAGTAATTAGAGACAGAGGGAATACTACATAGATAAGCTAGTGAATTTGTTTGTGCTTCGCACGATTATAAAATACGATAAAATGTCAATATATATTTGCTCAGATGTATAATTGATTTTATAGAGGAAAACATTTGGTTAGTATAGTTAGTTGACTTCTAATAAAGTCATAAATTATTATTTTGAACTAATAATTATAAACATACGAAATCAAATTAAAATTTATATAATACAAAATAAAGAGAAATCGTAGAGAAAACTACAAAAACAAATAAATAATGCAACATCATTTTCAAGGCAAGTTGATTACTAGACCATCAACAATCAAAGTGAGAATTGGATCTAGCATTTCTGGAACGTGGTATACAGGGTGATATATGTGGGCGCATTCACCCATCATGTGGATCATTTAAATATTATATTGTTTTAGTACGTGCATCTACAAGATGGTCACATGTGTGTTTATTATCAACTCAAAATGTGGCGTTTGCGAGATTACTTGTTCAAATAATAAAGTTACGAGCACATTTTCTAACTTTATATGACCCAATTCGTTTTGCCCGATCCTATTTGACCCAATTTGTTGCCTTTTCTTCCGAAAAGAGAATTATATTAAGATAATTCATAATTTGAAAAGAAGCTCCTTTTAAAATCAATCTTCTCCTCATATTAAAAAGAACTCAGCAATCAACCAAAAAGAACCAGAAAAGAAAAACAAAAGGTGATTGATCTTTTTCTCACATTTATATCAACACACAAAAAATGACATTTAATTTGTGATATTGCACTCCATTTTTAGGAGAGATGAAGTTGCTTCAGGGCAAGTTCGAGTAGGTAGCAAATTCAATATATTTCGCTACAAGTTTATGGTACACATATCTTGATTTTTGCTCTGAATTTTTTATAATATTATTTTATAAAATATCAAATCACTGATATCTCTTAATGTAATATTTATTTATTCGCAAATCAAATTTCCTTCTTACTAAATAATATATTTTAAAAAACTATCTCATAATAATGTTGCTATATATGGTTTTTAAAAAATAATTATGAACTTGTGAACAAGACATGTCCAGTAATATGTCACTAAATTATACTCCCTCCGTCTCATTTTATGTGGCAACATTTGACCGGGCACGGAATCATATATATATATAAAGGAGGATCATAGAGGAGGTGATGTGGCACCTCTCTATGACCTCCATTCCTATTTATCTATTTTCTCTCTTTTTTTATGGACTTTTTATGTTTGTTTTTTAATTTATCTTATTTCTAAATGCATTAATCAATTAATGAAGAAATAAAACTGAAAATTTCTAATGGAGCAGTTAGTGAGGAAACACGTTCTGTTTGAGACATCTACTAGAATTAAAACACATTTAAATCAAATAAATGGGAGATGAAAAGACCATCCTTTCATACACCTCCTCTTCTTCTAACCGTTTGACAGGTTATTAAAAGGAGTACCAAAATAGGTTTTGGTCTATATTTCAACTCATATAGTGTACGTACTAAGATACATGGCAAAGGTATCTTCTTCTTTTATTTTCTTATAATTTGGTTGTGTCATAATTGTTTCATGTTATTTTACTTTACATTTTTTTTCAAGATTATCCTTTTTTATACATGGCTAATTTTTTAGAGAATTTCCCTCTGTACTTGAGATCCTTCTCTTTTTTTCTCTCCCACAAAAAGAGAAACCTATGAAAATTAAGAATCGAAAGTCATCGTTCGTTAGACAAGGTCCACGTGCTGTGCATCTCTGGTGTTCTGCTCGTGGAATAGAAAGAGTTTGTTGCATCAACAAAGTGTATTAGTCAAAAAGGCTTACTTAAGCTCATTGATGTGTACTCCTAGGCTATGAAAGAGAGGGTCCGCGAGTACTTTTGGACGTATATGCTGCATTTGGTGAGTGTAAATGATGGGTGAGGACTGAGGAGGAGAGGTAAGAAAGGAATACAATTATAAGGAAAATAAAAGGATAGAAAATCGAATAATAGATTTATGCATGTATCCATATGTGTAACACTCTCACTTTCAATTCGATCAAAGAATTGAGTCACAACAGAGCAAAAAGGATAGGTACTATTAGGGAGGAGTAAAAAACTATTAGGTCATAATTGACAATATTTCTTATTTATTCTTTATATTTGTGTGCATATTTCTCATAAACATCATCTCATATAGTAAATCCAGCACTTCAATTTTCTTGCTATCACATATTTATATGTTTAAATAGTTTCTGCATTATAGAATATCTATAATTAAGTAGTGGCTTCTATTTGATTTATAAAGGAAGTCGAGTCCTTTATGATCCACAAGCATGTACCTAAATAGTGTACAGAAGTTGACTCCTATTCTTGATCCTTAAGCAATTACATAACCATTTTTTCCAGAAAAATTGTTATCATTTTGATATATTTTTCTTATTCAAGTTCAAATATATGTTAATCAAGTATTGTGTATCTGTAATATTTGTCACATTGTCAAGCAGATTTATATGAGAAATAATTAAAGAATCATGAACATACGTATGTACTTTCATTTTTCATTGTAATGGGTATTAAAATTCGTGTTGCAATCTAATACATATATCTGTGTTGATAGTTTATTGTATCTATATTCACTACGAATTAAATTTATTGAAAATTTGTATGTGATATATTTACTCGGACAAAGTGTGGTAATAGAAATGGTAGAGTTGCCACATTTCTATGGACAATGATCTTAATTATTTCTCTATTTTTTTCTTTCTCTTTGTTTTTGTTGACTTTTCTTTTATTTTAAAAAGTTATCTCCGTGAGCTAGCTCACACAGGTTCATCTTCATAAATTCTGCTCTTAATAATATTTATAATAATATTCAAATCTTCCATTGTCATAATCTCAATTATTTAATATAGGCAGTTTAAAACAACACATAAAGTACGTACCACAAAAATGTCATTCCATTGGGCATAAATTCGAAAACAAGAACTCTTTCTCGGCCATTAAATAAAATCTCAATGGGGCAACTATATGTTAACATGGAAAGTTTTGCTTCGTCGATAAATTCTTTTTTATTTGCTTACTTACTCGAATTTATAACCATTGAGATTACCTTTAGAGACTCCTTCATAACCTCGCCTTGTTTGAGTTTCGATTCTAAAGTGAGTTAGTCATTTTTTTACTAACAACAATAAAAATGCTTATATGCTTATTAAGAATAATTTTTGAAAATAACAAAGTAAATTCGTAGGTGCAATTATTTTAGAAAAGAAGTAATAGTTATTGATTTTAGAGGAATTGAATAATTAAACAAAGGTAAAGAAATGCAAATAAGAGTAGAAATAAAGGATAATCGAAAAATAATATCAAGATAAATACAAAGAAGAATGAGATTACACGAGAAAAGATTATTTAAGTGAAAAACAATATGAGAAAAAAGATAGACACAAAGAAGGGTAGATAATCAAGAAACATAACAAAAAGGAAAATAGACGATTTCAAAATATCATTAATGCAACAAAAAATATTATTTTCATGGTAATGAGAATATGATCAAGCAAAAATATTTTTTTTTAAAAATCAAATTTCTAAATTTGTAAAATTACATTTATAACTTGAAATCTTAAGAAAATAATCACGATGAAAGGGTTAAAATTGTACGCTTTTGTTACATTAATAAAACCGCGCAAAGCGCGGATAAGTTCACTAGTTTAAGAAATAAATGTAGACATAGTAGGTGAGCTTGAATACTTTCATTTGTATTTTTCTAATACATTAATTATCGATGAAACAATAATTTGTGTGAAATTTAAAAGTATTTTCAATATTTCTCTGATTTGAAATAACAAGTACAGCATAGAGGGAGAATTATGCTATTAATCAATTTATTGTACATGAAAATTTGTAATATCATTGAGGTTCGCTTGATAAAGTTAAGATCCATCCATCCATTCCTTCATTTTATTAAGTGGGAAAAAAACACACACACACAAAGTTACAATGCAAGGACTTATTTCTGTCTTCCAACTAATTAAGATTAAAATTCTTGATATGTTGAATGAGAGCAGTGAGATTGTTCCACGAAGATCCACCTTCATTTGTTGCATTCTGAGCCATTTTGCTCATAGCCATTACTCTATCCCTAATATTCATAATTTCCTCAGAACCATTACTGATCATTAGTCTCTCAATTGCTTCTCTAATCTTGGCGCTTTCTATTACAGGGCCCGTGATCTCAATTCCTTCATTCCATACATCTATCCCGATTTTGATTCCCAATCCCCTAACCTCGACTACCTTCTCGTTGTAGAATTGATCAGCATAAAGTGGCCATGTTATCATTGGCACGCCAAAAGTGATGGCTTCCAGAACCGAATTAGTACCACAATGAGTCATGAACCCGCCTGTTGCTGAATGTTCCATGATCGTAAGCTGTGGGACCCACCCTTTGATGTACAAACCCTTTTTAGTCTTGTCCTCTAAATTACCAACTGGCAACCACGACGTTGTTTTTTCATTAGGCCTCAATACAAAAATGAAAGGAACATTTGAAGCATCCAGAGCTTGGGCTATTTCATTCAGTTGGCTCTCAGGAAATCTAGCCATGCTTCCGAAAGATACATAGAGAACCGATTTAGGTTTCTGTGCATTCAACCAATCTATAACAATCTCATTGTTGTTATGCTCAGAAATTAGTTCCTTACTACGGATTTTGGATGCAAAATGAGAGAGCGGACCAAAATGCCAACATTTTGGTTTCTTTAATTTCTGGTAGTAGTCGACATATGCAGGTTCTAGCTCATAAAATGTATCATGAACAATGCCATAGCTTCGCTCCTCCGAATCTCCAACTTGTTCGAGCAATTCGTCAAAACCAGTCTTTTGGTCATCCGGCTTTCTCAGATCATCTGTCAGTTGGGATAACTTGAACTTTATCTCATCAGGTAAACCAGGAACCACGAAACTTTGAGATTCGTCTAGATTAGGCTGCTTGTGAGGTCTGTAAACCTTAAGGTTGTGCATAATGCTGTAGCACATGTAAGCAGACAAATTGTACAAAATACGAGGGATGTGCAGCTCATCGGCAATATCTACTGTCCAAGGGAAGTACATATCAGAAAAAATGCAATCGGGACGGAGTTCACGAATTTTATCTTCCATTGGCTTTTGTAGAAGAGAAAGAGCATAAAAAATTTTATGGGGCATTTCTGGTGAAGTGGCAGAGTTAAAGCTCTCAATTCCTTCAGGCAACCCAACTTCAGCAGAGGGGAATTTAATAGTTACGATAGAAATGGGAAATCCGGAAATTCGAACATCATCGTCAATAGTAGATCTGAAAAGTAAGGCATTATGAGGGGTAGTGAGGATTGTGGCTTTAACACCGCGGGAGGCGAATAGCCTTGCGGCGTTAACTAATGGGATGAAATGACCAGCGGATAAGAAGGGAAGGAAAAGAACATGGAGGATTTCGCCATTGTTGCAGGTTGCTGCCATTTTTACTACCCAAGAACAGTGGTTGTTTCACAACTCTTATACCTTCAACATCATCTTACTTTTATATTTATAGACTAATGAGTGGTGAGTTTAATCTTAGTTAATTAATTTCACTTATTATATCCTTAATTAATTATTTTGAAAAAGGTAAAACTTTTTTAAAATCTTAAATTTTTAATTCATCCACTCCATAATTAATAGGGGTAAAATGGTAAACTCACTATGCCAATCAATGTTTTCTTAATAGGTGTGTTAATTCAAAAATAAACAAGTAATTAAGGGCAGAGCTGTGCCTTTTAAAAAAAAATATACGTGAAAGGTGTTTGATTAGACACATAAATTAAAAAAAAAAAGAGAAGAAATTAAGCTAAAAATATTTTTTAAAGAGTAAATAAAAAATTAATATAATATTTTTATTAGAAAAAAAAAGATATTTTTTAGTTAGCAAATAATAGTTGAGATATTTTTAGATCCTTTGAACATTTTAAAATCAAACTGTTAACTCCTTGTCACATTACTGAAAAAATAGTTTAATTATTTGTAGCAAACGTCCAAATCTTCAATACTTCAATCTGCACCAAATCAGATCTGTGCCTTTTTTGTTAAAAATAATAATGTGAAGGTATTTGATTAGACACATAAATTAAAAATATAAATTTGAGCTGAAAATATTTTATAAAGAGTAAAATAAAAAAATTAAAATTAAATTATTAAATATATGAAATTTTGTAACAAAATATTGTTCACTTTTTTTAAAAACTTTTTAAAATAAAGTTTCACTTAACAAAATTGTCATTTAATTATTTTTTGAAATATTTAAAATTATGTTGTTTATGTAACTTTATTCTGATTTTTTCCCATATGATCAAGATCAACCATATTTACCTATGTTTATGCCGTCAGTGCTATGGCCGATGTACGTCCGTTAATACTCCCTCAGTCCTGTTTTATATATTAATTGAATTTGTGAGGTAATGCATGATATTTGTTAAAGAAAAATATTTAAGTACATAATTTAAAATATATTTTAAATTATATATAATTTTGAAAGTAGTGCAATTTATCTCCAAAAAATATAAAAATTCATCAAAGAAAAGGACAAATATAAAAATAATAATCAAATATTCATCTTGAATTTTGAATTAGGGGTGTCAATGGTACCGTTCGGTTGGTTATTTTTTAAAAATTATACCATCCCAATTTTTCGGTTATTTTATAATATATAATCAAAATTAGATTTTATAAAATCATTCCAATCATATTGATTTCTCTTCGGTATCGGTAAAGTTCAGTTTTTTTTTTTTTACTTTTAAAATATCACCTCAAAATATACTACTATTAAAATATTTCTTTCACAAATATGTTCTTGAAGAAGCACTTTTATTCTTCATCAAGAAGACAAGAATGTAAAACCTTATTGCCGTATTGTTTGATCTTAAACATTTAATAGAAGTGTTTGCATATGTTTTGTTGTATTGTTTGATAGAATATCTATTACATTATCATTTAATTTTAAACCTAATTAAGCAAGGTTAATTAAAGAGCGAAGATCCAAAGTTGTCTAGTCATGAGAGGCCTAATACCTAAGTTATATTTATATTTAAAAATTATTCTAAAGAATATTTATATATTAAATTTAACATATTGTTAATATATAAAATATATTTACATGTAAGGTTATTCGATTCGGAATTTTTTTAATCTTTTTCATAAATTAAAAAAATCATCTTAATTGTTCGGGACGGTCATCAACCAAAAAAAATAAGAGACAAATGGATTATTGTGTATATCTATAGCACCTCACAATAATTTCAACGAATTTTACACACGTTTATTTATGTTGGACAGCAATATTTTTAAAATAAAGCTACATTATCTTTTTTCTATTTTTTCTGAGGGCATCTCCAATCCTACACTCTATTTTACTCTTTAAATATAAAGTTCTCTATTTTTTCTTTTCAGACAACCAATTTCAAACCAAATTTTTTTTTTACACTCTAAAAATAAATCTTTTTCTCTCTCCTCAATATTATATTATTATTTCTATTTCATTCTTATTTTCTTATTTCATAATATAAATCCTTTATTTCTTTTTCCCAATAATTACTTTATATAATTTCATGTGATATAAAATTTTATTTTTTCAAATTTTTTATTTAATATAAAATTATATTTTATTCTAAATTTTTAAATAATATAAATTGCAAGAAAATATTATATAATATACAAATTAATGGACAAATTCAAATAAAAGTGAAAGACAATCACATAAACATTACATAAACACTCAATTTTCAAAATTATTACGTTGCTCCCATAAATGCTCAATTATTGCATTACGGAGTTCAAAATGAGCATTTTTGTCCTTAATTTTTTATGTCTAGCTAAAAGTTGTTCAAACTGGGGATTTTCACCTACCATCATTTCTGTCGTTGGAGTTAGAGCCTCTACGACATCTTGAATTGGTGCATTAAGATCACATTCATCCTCAATTATCATGTTGTGCAGTATAATACATGTAGTCATTATATTATGTAGCACTTTCCTTCTCCAAAAATGTGAGGGTCCTGCAATAATTGCAAAACGTGATTGCATAAAACTCTGAATGCACGTTCAACATATTTTCGGCATGATTCTTGTTTCATCACGAATTAATTATTATGTTATGTATTGTATTTTATCTTGTATTTAAATTATTATGTTACGTATTGTATTGTTATCTTGTATAAATTATCATATTATGAATTGTATTTTTAAATTAAAATTTTCATCTTATCATTTTAATTTTGTGTATTCTTTATAGTGAAAATAAATAATAAAATCAAATTATATTATTCACGAAAATTAGAAAAATTAAAATAATATTAATTTGGGATGGAAATAGTATATATTAAATAATATATTTTAAAAAGTATTATATTACATTTAAAAAGAATTATGAATATTAGATATTTAATTAACTACATTATATGTAAAATAATATGTTAATTAGAAAGTAATAGAAATAATAATGAAATATTCAAAAAGTAAAATAGAGAGTGTGAATAGTAGTTCTCCAAATTTGGAGAACTACTATTCACCTCTCTAAATATGAAGAATAGAGAGTGATATGGAGGTATGTTGGAGTGTCTCTTCTCTATTTTACTCTCCAAATATAGAGAATGAAGAGTAAAATAGAGGTGAGTTGGAGATGATCTGAGGACCCAAAAAGATTATTATAGTACAACAAAACATAGAAGAAAATATCTTTTATTAGATGGTGACGGGGCATATCTTGGAGGTTTATTTATAGATTATTTTATTTTAAGTGTTTGGTTCATTCCTTATCAGCTCATTTTGTATTTGGATTAAAATTTTATAAATTTTTTCTGTTTAATTATATCCTTGAATTATTTTGCAGTTTCTTATTTTTAATTGGATCAAAGTAGATAGTTGTCGGATGATATTATTTTTAATGACCTTCTAATGAGCTAGAAGAAGAACAATTTTGTTTTCAAGTTTGTTATTATTTCACTTGAATTATTTGAGGGTAAATAATTTTCATCTTAATAAATTGATCACTCACAAAAGGTTAATTTTCAATTCAAAAAGGATAGACCATCTACATTTAGAACCAAAAAGACGGTAACAATAGTAAAATAGAAAAAGTTGTTTGTTGTTAAATAAATCCAATATAAATTAATACAATATTTGAAATGTGAGTTATTTAACATTTATAAGCTAATTTATTTAAATAAATTTAATAGTAAAAATATAAAACATAAAATTAAGAAAATAAATAAAATGATTAAGAGAATTTGAGGGATATTAGGATGAGACGGATGAAGTTTTAGGATGAGACTTTTATTTTTTTACCCTCCCTAGAAGCTCTCATTCCTTTTGATCCCTTGGTGACTCGGGCTTGCAACCTTTGAATTGAAAGCCATCCGAGTTAGGATGAGACATAGCACGTGATTAGGGAACACTTTTCTCAAGGTATAGATTGAGTCACACCACTTTTACCCGGTTAGGTAGATTTGGGGGAATGTTCATAATTATATTTTTTTGGTAAAAAGCGTTTTTCTTTGATTGGGCTTTTCATTTACGTGAATTGAATATAGTCGAATTCTAATTAAATAAAAAAATAAAAAATGTAATTAGATAAATCCAAGTATCATATAAATTGAAATGAACGTAATATAACTTGCGGAGATGAGTGATTTAATTCTCGAGATGATCAAGACAGTTTGAAAGTGTTTTGGATGCGTGAAACTCAAGAAGTTTGACCAAAATTAATATAAAATCATATCCGAGTTTTGATGGTTGCACTTGTTCCAAAGGGCATGTGCAATTTATAGCCAGGGAAACAGAAGGGTGAACGGACAAGACAAAATAAGCTCACATTGCTTCTTATGAATTCATTAACTTCTGTTGGTCACGGGTTCACACAAATATAACATTACTTTTCTTTTATAATCCCGTTGTCCCTAGTTAAATGTTTATTTTTGAATTGATACACCTATTAAGAAAATAATAATTGATATAGTGGGTTTACCATTTTACCCCTATTAATTATGAAGTAGATGAATTAAAAATTTAAGATTTTCAAGAAGTTCTACCTGTTTCAAAGTAATTAATTGAGGGTATAATAGGTAAAAAAAAATTGTCCTTTCTTAATTTGTCAAAATAGACAAGTAATTAGGAATAACTTAAAAAGAAAATGTGAACAAGTAATTAGAGACAGAGGGAATACTACATAGATAAGCTAGTGAATTTGTTTGTGCTTCGCACGTTTATAAAATACGATAAAATGTCAATATATATTTGCTCAGATGTATAATTGATTTTATAGAGGAAAACATTTGGTTAGTATAGTTAGTTGACTTCTAATAAAGTTATAAATTATTATTTTGGACTAATAATTATAAACATACGAAATCAAATTAAAATTTATATAATACAAAATAAAGAGAAATCGTAGAGAAAACTATAAAAACAAATAAATAATGCAACATCATTCTTACGATCTTGATCAATTGAATATAGGAGAAAATA